TTTTTTTTTTTTTTGGCACTATTCAAAATATTGATCAAAAGATAAATACCAAGAATCCTTAGGACAGATGTTAAATATTTGAATCTTATTTTCCTAACAGTTAATACGTCAAGAGATTCTGATATCCAGGAGTTTTTTTTTTTTTTTTTTTTTTTTTTTTTTTGCAGTTTTGGCCAGGGCAGGGCTTGAACCCACCACTCCGGGTATATGGGGCCAGCGCCCTACTCCTTGAGCCACAGGCGCCACCCACAGCAGGGATTTCTTTTTTGTTTATTTGCGTATTTGTTTTTCCAGATTAATACAAAGGTTTAGGTTCCATTTTTTTTCATTTCTAAGGTAAAAGGTCAAGTTCAAAGCTCAAGTTGTAGTTGAGCCCTTCACCCAGGGGGCGTGCTGAACACTTTGACATTTGTGCACATTAGGTGAGAACTTGACAATTCCTCCCACTCCCGCAGCTCCCTTTTCCTCTTTCCTCCTCTTGCCTCCCCGTCACTAGGATATATATGTGTTTTTCTTTCCTGTGGGTGTGTAGTTTTTATATATAGGTTTCGCTTCAGTATTGAGTACATTGGATACTTGTTTTTTTTCCATTTGTGATACTTTAAGAAGACTGTGTTTCCACTCCATCCAGGTAAACACAAAAGATGTAAAGTCTCCATCTTTTCTTAAGCCTGAACAGCACTCCATGTTATACATAAACCACAGTTTGTTAATCCATTCGTGGGTTGCTGGGCACTTGGGTTGCCTCTGCTGTCTTGGCAATTGTGAGTGAAGCTGCAGTAAACATTCTAGTGCAAATGTCCTTGTGGTAAAATGATTTTCCCCCTCTGGGTAGATACTTAGTAATGGGATTGTGGAATCAAATGGAAGGTCAGCTGTTTAGTTTTTTGAGGATTCTCCGTGCTTCTTTCCATAGAGGTTATATTAATTTGCAATCCCGCCGGCAATGTAAAAGTGTTCAGAGTAGAGATTTCTTGAACAAGAAACAATAAAGAATCAACTAAAAGGGAAGTTGGTACATTTTATCATATCAAAAATACGTATTTCTCTAAAACAAAGACACCATAAACAGTTCAAGAAACAGCCTCAAGTATCTTGAATTTAATTTTTTCAAACCATATTTTCAATTCCATATAACCAATTAGGATTATTTTCCAATGTATAAAGAAGACCTACAAACTAGTAAAAAAGAGACAAACCATCCATTAGGAAAATGGTCAAACAGTAATTCACAGAAGAGAAAAGACAGATAGATGCTCAATACTTGAATAAGGTAAGATGTGCAAACTTTTTTTTTTAGGAGACAGAACCTCAAGCTGTCCCCCTGGGTAGACTGCCATGGCATCACAGCTCACAGCAACCTCCAACTCCTGGGCTCAAGTGAGTCTCCTGCCTCAGCCTCCCAAGTAGCTGGGACCACAGGCACCTGCCATGGCTATTTTTTGGTTGCAGCCATTGTTGTTGTTTGGCGGGCCCGGGCTGGATTCGAACCCGCCACCTTAGGTGTACGTGGCTGGTGCCTTAGCCACTTGAGCCACAGGCGCCAAGCCAAGATGTGCAAACTTAGTAATAATTCAAATAGCCAAGGATTTGAAAGGGTGATCACAGAAGTGTTGGCAAGGGCAAAAGAAACCATGACTTTCACATTTCTGGCAAGAGTGTAAATTGGTACATCCATCTTTGAGATGATTTTGTTTATATTAAGGCATCTTCAAAATGTATATGCTCTCTGACCCACAAATTCCAGTCCTAGAAAAATATAGGAGAAATTGTAGCTCGTAAACAAAGGGAGTCATATGCACAAAAATATTCAGAGCAACATTGTAACAGAATAAAAGAGAACAAGCACATGTCTACCAAAGTGACAATGAGTATTTTACATTGTATGTATGCCTAATCTTAGTTTAAAGGAATGAAGTGTACTAAAATTATCAATGAATAAAAGAAAAAGTCACAAGAGTTTAGTGAAAAAGCAAATTGCAAAAATGCTCTATATTGTATGATATTTACTAATTTCTAAACATTTGGAAAGCTGGTCTATATAATTTTTATAGATGACGTAGTAAAAATGTCAACATGAATGTAAGATGATCAGCAACGCACCCTTCAACGTGCTTTCCGATGGAATACCAGAGAGAGGAATGAGGTTGGGGAAATTTTTAGAAAAACTACGGTTACTTCTAGCAATTAAACTGAAAAACTTCTAAAGCAAATAGGGCGTAACGTTAAAATTTCATTCAATTAGCCAATGTGACCACGTGTTTAATCCTATTGTTTTGTGTTGTCTCTGTGTATTTGTGATATCCAGAGTTGACCAGAAAGTAGGATTATTTCATAATTTATTATATTAATAATTTATTATATTCATAACAAATGTAGAAGGAACTCTTTGTTCAGCAGGCCAAGATTTAAAAAAAAAAAGCCATCTTCTGGATCTTATTACAGACCCAATGCACAGATATTTACATAATGCTAAGCACAGAGAAAAGATTGGAGACAACATACGACCCATATCCACAGAGGTTTCTTTGTAAAGATGAGCATCTGGACGGGAAGGTGCAGGTAGTGGAATCACAGCGCCCAGGTGACACGCCGAGCGTGGATCTGCTGTCTGTTGGGATTCTCTTCCTTCCCGGTGTCCGAGTGTGTGCGGACAATGCTCCGAGGCATTGCAGAGCGCGCCGGCAGTGAAATCACTTGGATTGAACTCCCTACTTCATTGCATTTCGTGGCAGATTTTTCTGCCCTGTTCAGGCAGGCACAGGTAGTACTGGGCTTCTTGCACTGTAGGAGAGACAGGGTTGCTGGGGAAAAGAGATGCCGGGAAGTGGGATGAAGGAACAATGGAGAGTCACAGGGATGTCTCCCTCCACCTTGGCAGAAGATCCTAACCCAAGTCAAGCTGGATCCCTTTCCTACCCAAAGCCATCCGGAAGGGAAACTTTAGGGGAGGAGACCGGAAGTGTAAGCACAATGGCCCAAGTGCTGCTCAGCTCAAGGAAATTGAGGATTCTTTCTGAAAGAGCACCTTCTTCTATACGGATTAGGAAGTACAATTCCAAGTGAAATTTTAAAGACTTCTTAGGTCTCTATTTGGGTAGGTGGTCACTTAGCATCAGGTGTGGTTTCCCATTGCCCTCAAACTGTTGGGGCACTGCACTGTACCTGGGTCACTGCCCCCCTCCACTCAGCCACTCTCATTGTGATTGTGAAGGTTATTTCTGATCTAAAGTGGAGGGGATGTGACAGGCAAAAGAGAAGGTGGCAGTGGGGAGCTGGCCTCTGAGGCAGGCACAGCGGACGGCTCACCCAACTGGTCTCCAGCTCTCTCCTTGGAGGAACTGTCCTCCAAGAAGGAGTCCAGGTGAGCTCCAGCATATTAGACTGGGACGTTTAGCATCTTTTCCGCCTCTTCCCTAGCCTGCCTCTTTCGCCCTTCCCTCTGTCAGGGCTAGGTTTGTTCTTCACACCCTCCAAGGGCCCTGGAGACACTCACCACAGATGAAAAAGAATAAAACGTTTATGTAGCCGGCGAAACCCATCCAGTTGATTTTGTAATTAGTGAAGTACACGGATTTACCTTCCCTCAGTTTCAGGTGGTACAGTAGGAGTGCGCAGAGCAGAAGGATACCTGGGGAGCAGACGAGGAGGAGAAAAGAGTCTCGTCACTGATGCATTCACCCCACGTGCACTTGACTCCACCTTCACCCTGTCCCACTGCACCTTAGCCAAAGACTGACCCTTTGTGGTGGATCTAGTTCAGAAGCCGTATGTAGGTGTGTAGGAATTTATTTATATCTACATGTATAACTGTATCTCTATCCATGTCAAAGTCTATGTATACCTAGGTCTATGTCTACAGCGGTATCTATATTTATACCCATGTCTATTTCTATTCTATGTCTATAGCTTTATCTATATATATACCTATCTATCTATATCTATAATCTATGCCTACACCTATATCTATATCTATAATCTATACCTACACCTATATCTGTATCTATATCTATCTATACCTATATCTATATATCTATATCTATAATCTATACCTACACCTATATCTATATATATATCTATAATCTATA